TTTCTCAGAGCCGGATCCTCCAGATTCCACGGGCAGGTTGTCAAAAGACTGAAACCAGATGAAAATGAAAAATAAAAATACAATAACAACATAACGACACGACGTCTTCGGCCAACCAAATGGCACGGGCGGTAGGTAGGCACAGCGGGGTTGCAAGTAAACATGCTATTGATATATCATTTTGAGTTGTCAAGAACAACATCCTATTTACGTATGCGACCCCAATGAACTCAACTCTGCCCCCGATTCTTCAGACCATTGAGCTTGACAATTCAGGCCAGTAGGGCACATCCTGGTTTTAATGGGCCTGTGGATGCATGAACTTTGTGCAAATAACCCACTCGAAATTTCACTCGTCCCCTTTGATGCCTATTGTGCAGAAGTAATTCCAAGCATCTGATTGCGGGTGACGTTCACTGCTACCCATATCATTCTGTACGCCACTTACCCCGCGCGTCTTAGTTAGGGGGAGCCCTAACACTGATCCATTCTCTACATCTCCCATAAGGAAGTCAGACACACTGGAAAAAAAAATGTTACATCTTAAAATTAGAATTATCTACATCGTCTCGTCATGTGGAATGATCATCATGATACCTACACATCGCCAACCGTGAATGCCAATTTGTCGATTGCAGAGTAGATGTCTCTCAAAAGACTCTGCTTGTTCTCTTCATTCACCTGCTCAAAATTCACTCCTGTCAAATGGAAAAAAAAAAAATGTTACATCTTAAAATTAGAATTATCTACATCGTCTCGTCATGTGGAATGATCATCATGATACCTACACATCGCCAACCGTGAATGCCAATTTGTCGATTGCAGAGTAGATGTCTCTCAAAAGACTCTGCTTGTTCTCTTCATTCACCTGCTCAAAATTCACTCCTGTCAAATGGAAATGAGAAGTCAGGCTTCCAGCCGTAACATACATTCAGCAAATTTAATCAAGAATCACTGTTTTTGCGTGCACAAAATAGACTATGCTGAACATTGCTGTCTCAAAATAACAGAACCGCATAAACAAACTTTGTGTGTCGGCACAGAAAGGGTAAACCAAGATTGCAAGTGTATATAAATGGGCTGTAATCTGGAAATCCAGTAGTTTCCTGCGGCAAGTCAAAACACGGTGATGACTGAAGACAGAATGGGGGAAAAACACCAATGTAAATATGGTGGTAATCAGTCTTCACAATAACCTTCCTGTCCTGACCGTGCAGAGAAAAAAACAAACTAGATGCTCAGAAAGCAAGCGTAATAAATCAGTGATGTAACTGGCTGTTCCGCCACTTGCTTGAGGAAACTCTGTCTTTCCTTCCTTTGGAACAGTGGATATTTCTAGAGTTCAAGACTCAAACCAACCAAATTCTCCTGAAATTTGCTCCAAGAAAGCAGGGAAACGATGCTAGTTTGGTGACAAACGAAAAACGAATGCTTTTCTGAAACCTGTGAAGGAAGCTTCAGACAACATGACATCCATCGATCGCACCAAATGCCAAGACACGTTTTGTAACAAATAGATGTCAAAGACACCTGAGCCCTGAAAAGCTATACATACCTGGAATGTAGTATTTTTTTTTTTTTTGCCCCCACCCGCCTCAACCTTGGTCCTGTTCAATGGACAATCCTATTTTGATATATTACGACGATCACGTATACATTCCTCTCAAATGGGTCTGGTCGTATAATCCTCCGCAAGCAAAATTGTGTAGTGTCTCAAAAAATAAAAATTAAAAAAAAATTAAAAGGGCCAGAAAGTATGGTCTGACTTGTAGATTCGGTCCAACAATTCTCTTGGAATGTCCAATGAGCCGTGGGGTTGTCACCAGTGAACGCACGCAACTCACTTAGGCTCTCGCATCGTCTCTGCTTCTGTCCAACCCCTAACCCCTCAACAGGACATCCTGAGCCTTGTTGGAATACAATGCCAGTGCTCGCACAGGCCCCAACCAGTGGTCCAAATGCGGAAGTTACATCATTGAGAAAAAATGGTATTGTTTGAGTGGAAAAGCACAACACTCTCGCACACACAACTCAGATTGAATTCGGGTATCTGGGTAGGAATTTGACCAAAAACATGAAGGGGAGGCAACCAAATGATGCCTTGTTGTTGCTCTATCAGGTACCACAAATCACAACAAATATGCCAAATTGCTCATATTTTGTTGCTCTATCAGGTACCACAAATCACAACAAATTGCTCATATTAAAAAAAATGGTAAAACGGGGCAAATGTATTTGGAAATTGAGGATTATTATCAAACGGCACATGCCTTATATCTAGCCTATTCTCAAGAACATAAAGATGATCATACAAAGGATCCCCCTCAACAACTTTTTGCTTGATTGGATTTGTGTCTGTATGTTCTTTTTAGTTGACATTTCATTTCTTTTCAGAGAGAAGTAAACTATCTCAGCCCCCCTAGTGGCAGAATATATAGCACATGCATGCAGACCAGTATCACATGACAAATAAGCAAAATGGCAGATCATTTTCTTCTTTTGTGAATCAAGAAATACAATTACCACCATAGAAAAACAACTAAATTTCTGGCTTGTATTGTTAAAAAGAGTTGGTGGGGTTACCAAGACATCACAACTTACCTTTCACTGAAGTGATGACAGTCCCAACTGAACTGAGAATGTCAACCGAGTTGAGGGTCTGGTGTTTGCTGATGAATGTCATCAGGGATGCCAGCATCTCCCCGAGACGTTCGTGGATTGCTTTGTGCAGGCAAGCTTGGTGCTCTGTGAGGTCACAAAGTTGGGAGAGTTCAAGAAGCTTTCTGGTGGTCCTACAGGCTAAGCGCTTGAATTCATCTGACAAACTAGTCCTACGTGTGACCTGAATATCTTGACCGTGGTGTCGGAAATGTGAAGAGCAATTGAAAGACAGCACGATTTGACTCATGAGTCAACATTCATCCCTTTTTGAAGTAAACGTACGATGGATTTATACAGGATTGAACGTAATATGCTGGTACACTGGCTAGGGGCCGCTCTGGCAGTCATAAAACAAGTGAAAGTTGTTATGTTGCTCGGCAAAAGCGTGGACAAAAAAAAAAAATCCTTAACCAGGAAGCATGACAAGACAGTGACGATTGGGGATTCCCCCTGATAAATTGATCAAGAGTGCAGAAAATTACGAACCAGCCTTCCGACAAACAAATCCTACTGCCAACAGGGTCACTACATAACATTCCGCCTTTGCTGGTTTAAAGGGTGGCCATGGCAGCCACGTCAGACAACGACCGTCCGTTCACAGCGGTTGTGGTCAACACTAAAGCAGTCAATGGCCTGTCTAGGCAACAAGGACATAAAGCAAGGCTGGCAGTGGGATTGCACTCCGCTCGGGAACCTACAAAGAGAACTCATACCTGAAAGCCAAGTGCATAAACAGCCACAATCTACTGTGATCGCACTACACGACAGAAGTTTGCAAGTCTGTTAATCAGGAGCCCCTTTTTAAACAGAAATGATGAGGTAAGAAAGTTCAAAAACACAGCCTGTGAAGAAGGGTGGGAATTGATGTTGTGCCATCAAGTCGGCAAGCTCAAAGAACAAAGCTCATGTCTGTGTATAGAAGGCACAACTGGCAGCTTGCTTTGTACTGTTCTGTCATGTACTCTACAAAATGGATCTCCTCTAAAATATGTTTTGATAAAAAAAAAAAAAAATGCAGTTTACTGATATGCATTTCTTGATATTTTTGGAAACCACAACATTCGTGTTACGCAACCACAGGCGGGTTGCTTACAGTCCACTTTTCTGCCCCCCTGTCCTGTTCCCCCCCCAACAAAACCACATCCCACTGACAGCCCAAAGCCACATTTGCGCTGATGATCACGCCGGGATTATCTCCTCATGGAGATGGGGATCAGAAAGACTTTAGCCGTCGCCCATTTTTCCTTTTATTCATTAGCTCTCTTTTTGGAGTGGGACAAATAGTGCAACCAGCGGGGCTAATACAGCTGGGTCGACGTGGACATATTGACAATGCTTTCTGTGGTGATCCGAAAAATCAAGCCAACTAAACAGTATGTGCCAAGTTCCCACCACAAGGTAACCCAGGTTTACCGGAAAAACGACACAAAGACGGCTGCTGCAACAAAAAAAACAAGTGAAGCATCAAAGACATCAATCAAAGATCCTGCAAAGTCAATTCACACTGGGTTTTTTTTTTTTCTAAAATACATCACACGTACGTTTGAAGGTAATTGCTGAAAACGTGCAAAGACTGAGTTGCGGGGACGTACCGTAAGAGCTGTTTCTCACCATTTCAGTAGCTGTTTCTCAATTCGCGTGCTTGGGGGGGACTTTATAAAACACCATGGATGAGGATGATATTTTAGCATTAAAATTTGCCTGGTTAAAATAACAGAACCTTTTTAGAACATACTTTGGCAGAAGACCAGTGCCGTTCATTTAGGGCAGCTACAGTATCAACCTTCCATTCAAATAAAGTGCGCAGGCGCAATGTTTCGAAGTCTTTGACAAGCCGCTTCAACCTCTGTGCCCTTTATTGTTCGTAGTCAGTTCAGATAGACGGACATTCCGGTTAAAAATGACCAACTAGCTCGCGTCATCTTGGCACAGGCTTTCGAACCCATTCATTCATTGAACCGCATCCCCAGGAAAGGAGGCATAAACTTTGAGGTTGATTATGGACGACCCTCAGCCATGAATGCCCACAAGATCGAGAGGTTTCCTTTAAAAGGGTCCCATGCGCTGCAACCGACAATAGCAGATGTGTTAGCCTATTGGACCGTCCCAAATTGAGGCTAATTAGCACGACATTATGGCCGTGTGGACCGGCACAGCGAAGGGAAGGCATCAAGTAAAAAGACCGATTATTTAACCCCAGTGCTGCTTCTCACAATGCGTAGACAGCCGGTTCCCACCAGGAAGAGTCTGTTCAAGGCATATCTGACAAACACAAATTGAGATTTGGCAGCGGCGTTCTTGTTTTAAAGAGAGGATGTTCAGTTTTAAGAGAAGTTCTGGGAAGAACCTTCTGTCCACAGTCGACAGGGAAAACCAGAGTTTGAAGAACAGACATGTTTGAGAGCAGAAAACAAAACGAAACTGTATTGTCCCTGGGGCCAATAGTAAACAGTCAGACAGGTCACCTCGTGGACTTGACCACATGAAGCATTTATGGAACAATAAATTATATGAATATATGTGTGCGTGTGAGTGTGTGTGTCTGTGTGTCAGTCTTTGTTCACGGTCTGATGGTTTTTGGTGGGAGGATGGTAAGGCATGACAGGGGAGGAGTGGTGGAGAGCACGGGAGGGAAAATATGAAAGGAGAAGGGGGTTGTACGTGATTTGGGGTAGTTCTCTTCCATTGGGATTTGTCCCAACTTTACCCCTGCACAGCACATCCCCGCTATGAGAGAAGGAGTGAGAGACATTCCAGGGCATAATAAGGCCTGGTGAATGAAAGCGATGGAGGGATCAGACCTTGAGCCTGATGAGAAGGAGGCCGCGGATCAGGAGCTCCTCGCAGGCTGCCAGAAACACATTGCCAGGCTTTTACTTCATTAGCGTCATGGAAACCCAACATTCCAGCCTCTTGTTTGGTCGTGGGGATGGCAGTTGCAGCAAGGGGCGCGGGGAGCCATAATGAAAACATTCTCAGATCATTCACCATCAAAACGACACCTTCATAATAAAACATTCCGAAAGCTCTCCCCGGCCGGCTTTCGCGAAAAAATTTCTAAAGTCAGGAATTATGCAGTACGCTATAAAACACAGAATGGTAAGAGCTGTCTCCCAAACCCTCATACTTGACCAAGCCGTAATCTCCAGATATCAGCCATATCTTTCAGGCACCAAGTATCACTAGAAAATGATCTTTGCAGTTGATGACTCCATCCCACTAAATATTCTCTGCATTTTCTCATGCATTCCACCACACAAGAAGATGGCAGCGGAATCACAGTAGAATGCACAACCACATGAGGAAGCCGGGGAATTACTAATTAGGGACGTTGCATCATTGAGCCGGGAGTGCCTGAGACAATATGACTTGGCAACATTCCATTCGCTGAGACCCGAGCTCTGCTCAATTATGCACTGCAAATCACGAGTCGTATTCTTGATGGTTCAAGACACCTGAGAGTGGGCCATGGTGCTGCTTGCCACAAAGACAGCGTGAAATCACTTATCGTGTCACAACTACGCCTTCCAAATACGGATCGCGCGCAGGCGAGCCGCGGCATAGGTGGGCTCGTAACTAATTACAATGCTCAACCAAAACGATTGAAAGTCGAAAGAGTCAAAAATTTGAAATGATTTGCTACATGGATAGATTATTTTGCGATTTGCCTCAACATACAACCACATCCCCCCAAAATTACCCAGGAAGATAGAAAAGGATATCCTTGCTAATTATGAAATATTTATGAAGGAGGTGTTTCAAAGTGGGCCACTTCACCTTTAGCACAAAGATAGATTCATTGAAATGGGTGGCCAGTGCATCTGTAACTAACTGTTCGTTCTTTCTCTTGTCTGCAAACTACTCGGTAGATCACACACATAAAGACTGTGACTTCATTGCTTCACTTTTTTTTTCTTTTTTCTTTTGCAATGATTAAAAGTGTTTGTAAAGGGAGCTGCAGCGACCTACACGGAGGAGTCAGATTTAGCTGGTGACACCCATTTTCAAGCTTGTTGGCTTTTAGAGCAGCAAACCAAATGATATTACATCACCCAAGAGTGACCAGAGGATGTTCATCTCCCAGGATCGGTTTGTTGATGTTTGTCATTCTTGTTTTGCATGTCGCATTGCTAGCATCGAAATGTGACAGTCGGTTTCAATTGAAGAATGTGCCCCCCTCCCCCGCCCCACAACACCGTTTTGCTCGCGGGCCGTGAGGAAAGACAGATATGGCTTTGACATCCCCCACATTACCACCTCAACAACTTTTGATGCAAAGCCATGAAAGCTGGCATTCCAACTACGCTCTATCTTTTCTTGAAGAGAAACACAGACCCACCCCCCACCCCGACTGCGCAACCTTGATCTGCCAGCCAAACTGGTCAAGCGTTGGCGCTAAAAGCCGACGTTTGTTCTCCACAATGTGTATTGTACGCAAAGGAACATCAGCAGGCCAGGAGGCGAAGACGGCCCCCTTTTTAGTGCACCTGTCAATGGGCATGAGAAGGAAGTGAAGGGTCGAATCTCAACACAAAGGGAGGCTATTTGGCTTTACTGTCATCCTGACCGTGAGTGAATGGGCTTTGTGAACTTGAAAGCCTACCTTCTAACCTCGGATACCTACGGGGTAAAATGTTACTCATTGAGAGTCTTCTCTTTCTGAAGAATGCATGAAGCCTTGGAGAAAATCAAGAGTGATTGCGGGCATTGTTGCTCCTAGGCCGCATGGCTTGGCATGTTCATTCACACATCAATGGACCCAATTTCCTCTGTTGCCTTTCCACAGTCCAGCGAGACCTCATTTGACTCTCACAAGACATGATGGACTCCAGTTGGCCAGGCTCTCTTCTTCCCACAGTAGTACAACAACAACAACGTTCCTGAACAAATTCAAAGTAGCGCTGGACGAGTGTGTCCAGTTGTCCTTCCGTCCCCTTCCCTATCAAGTTGACTGGCTTTTCATATCTCATAACCAGTGTCGGGCTGCCCTTGCAACATGCAAACATGCACGTGAATATCATCTGACAGGGAAAATGGTTCAATTATTCGCTTCCATATTTCTATAAAGTAGCAAGAAAATCTAT